CTAGCTACTTCCGCACGGTTGCACCCGCTCTGCTCGGCTCCTATGACGATTCATAGGAGCCGAGCAGAGCGACTACAAAACATCACGCTACGATTAGCGTGATGTTTTGTAGCCTATAACCTTCCTTGTTGAATGGACTATACAACACAAAAATAATTATTGAAATTGGACTGGTAGTTTCAGAGATTAGCGCGTTCAAACAAACAAACAAACGAACAAACAAACTCTTCAGCTTTATACATATAATAGTATCAATAAGTATAAACAATAGTATAAAGTATAAGATAGATTTGTCACCCATCTTTAACATTGTAGAATAGAATAGAATTATACTATTTTGTATGGATAACAAAGAGATGGTAATGTGGTGCAAAGCCCTGCAACATTTTGTTTGTTATTAATTAAGCTCGTTGATACAGAGTTAATGAGTAGCATATACTGCGCATAATGATATCATTCTATTCCAGTTGACCTTATCAAACAAGGAAAGTTATTTATAAACCGTCCGTGTGGTATAGATAGTGCTGTTCAAAAGCTACGTATCAGGGACCTATGAAAAATTATCTAGTAAGAAAATAAACTTAAAGAAGCCGCTATCACTTCGGTCGAGCCGACCCGTTGCCTTCGAACCCATTAATAGTTCTTGTACGTAAAATACTTGATATGCAATTCATGTTCTTCATCCTACTGTTAAAGTTTACACCGTGAACCAAACAGTAATTAGGATCGTTGTCATATCTAGAAACTAAAAATGAAGTCCCTTATCTGTAGTTGATTTTGAATTTGCACATATTTTTAGAGATGTTCTATCAATAAACTATTCTATATCATAATATATCATAATATCTACAAAAAACAATAATGGATTTGAATTTGATTTTGAATTTAAACTATTTTTATATAGAATAGGTGGGCAAAAGAGCAGAAGACTCATCACTTTTAAAAAAAAGTTGCCACCCACTAGGATTTTCTCCTGTATCGTGGATGCGTTTACAAACATACAATTTCACATACACATGACACCCAGACCCGGAACAACAGTCTGTGGATCACACACAGAGTTGTTCCGTGCGGGAATCGAACTCGCGACACGTTGCGCGGCAGCCAATTGCCCAACCACCGCACCTACCATGCAGTCATCATTGCAACGCCACCCGTAGACACATTTCCCGACATTTTCTTGTAAGGCCGTTGTATTCTCCGGTCACCGGTCTAACCAGTCAGTCCGTGCCAAAGCAATATAAAACGTATTCCCTACGTGATTTTCTGTATTTTCCCTACATAATTAAGTGATATTCCTAATTATATTTTGTACATTGTATTTGATGATAACGTCCACAGCTGTTGCAGTAGGTACACTAGTCCACACATTGCACATAACGAGGGTTCGCTCGGTAACCGCGATAAGATAAAACATAGCGAATATTCCATGGATCCAGCTTTGATAGACCCTGTTAAATATATATATTAATAAATGCTATCAGAATCAGTTGAAACTTACTATAAGGATACTGACTGTGTTGTTACTGTCGCTGTACTGTCTATCCCCTGTGCCTTTAGCCAAACGCCACTTTAGCGCTTGTCTATAGAGCGAGTAGAAATCAAAATGTATGGGGATGACTCTGGCAAGTGTCAAAATTTACGTCAATTCCATATAATTTGGTTTTCTATTCTACATGTAGACAAGCGCTAAATGGCATTTGGCTACAGCTGCTGATCCGTCAACGGAATGGGTTACTAAGTTTTTTATAAAATAGTGGCCCAAAAAGCTGATGGATCACCTGTTAGTAAGCAATCACCATCGCCATCACCATCCGTAACACCAGAGACCCAGAGGGGACAAGAAGATGAGACACTGGCGTCGCGTCTTCTTTCTGTGTCATGCTGGTATTTCAAAATAAAACTTTCAAATATTTTCAAAACGGCCCAGCTTGTGATAAACAAAAGCGTCTCCAACCATTTCGCAAGTTAAGTACTAAAGCTAAGGGCCAGGATACACCATAGTACCTACGCATCCGATGTTGACAGTTCCGATCAGTGTGCGACCTTCACGGGTCATCGGTCCATTTAGCACGGAAGTCGACCCACGCACACTGGAGCTTGTGGTCAATATAATAATTATATTCACATGCATAATGTAAGAGAATAGTACATCAGGAGGGCTACGGCCTGATTATAATAACTCCGTTTGTTTTGCAACATTATAATATTAAACTCAAGATAAAAATTGTTAGCATAAAATAAAGTAATGCTTAAAACTTTGATCAACCTAAAATCAGTAATGTATCGTGTTTTGTTTTAAATAGTTCAACACAATTTTGTAGATACATTCGACAAATTCAAAAATTCTTTTGCTTTAGAAATATTCAAATACTAGCTTTTACCCGCGACTTCGCTCGCGTCACAAAAGGTTAAAAAGTAGCCTATGTGACATATACCAATACACACAGCGCCATCTATACCAATACTTTTGTTTTTCCTCGAGGAATATAAAATTTTTCCGGGTTAAAAAGTACCCTATTATTTAATCCGGACTTCTAATTTTAAAACTGCAAAAATTCAAAGCAATCGGTTTAGTAGTTACGGCGTGAAAGTGGAACAAACAAACAAACTCACTTTCCGATTTATAATACATATTAGTAAGGATAATCGTGGCAACGAACCTAGAATAAAATTTTGTCTTTACAAGACTGATGACGATGGTTATGTTTTGTTTATTTTGTTAAATCTAACTAATAACGCCATCTAGTGGAAACTTCATACAACTTATTGTTCAGAGACTGGAAGTCTGATTTTTTTACTCTTTCGCTTCATCTACTTACATTCATCAATCTCAGCATTGCTCATTTTCGGAGATTGAGTGTGTTTTAAACTAAAAAAACTTATTTAGTTTAAATTAGGGAAACATGTGCCGAAATATATTTCAACACGCACTGTAAAAATAAGCTAGTTAAATTATTGTAATAGAACGATTCTATTCATGCAAATCACACACACTGCTTTCTGGCTGCCTTATCAAAATTTACTTAGACGGAAAGCTAAATTTGGCCTAGCCTTTTCAAGTTGCGGAAAAGATTAGCATTAAATGCAAATGCGTAACGGTACTTAACTTAATTTTGGATGGCACGAGTCATAAGTGTTTTGTTATACAGAACATTAATACGAATTTTATAATATTAAAGTACCTATTCATTTACCTAGGTACTATTTATCAAATACATGCTTAGATAAAAACTAGTATGATTCCAATTAGATAATAAATACTAGTCAATTCTACCTGCCTGAATGGCGTGCGTCACTTCCAAGAATTAAAGAACATAGATAAAAAGTCGAGGTGTGGAAAATTTACTAATAAGACATTAAATTGATAAAAAACCGAAGTTATAATAATTTGGATACTGAAATATAAACTGTGTGCTATTAGACTTAGGTTGCTACTTATTCTAAAACTCAAATTAACAATGACTACCCAAAATACTCCATAGATCTAATTTCCTTTACCTCCTAATCCATGAAAAGCTGAATACGGATACCTATTTCATCGAAGGAACTATCAAAGGAAGAACTAACTAACGTTATTGCCTAAAGAAATCAATGCATTTGATATGTGTTATTAATAAATAATATTATATTATTGCGTCTGCATCGCGTATTATTTGTTTAGTTCTATTTGTTTCATATTTAATAAAGACTAATGTAAGTAATATGAAATCAACGCCATCTATTTCAGTACCACAGAATTAAAGTAAGCCACTCTGTGTATAATCTACGACTACATCCGACTTACAGCGATAGAGGGCGATACTAGTTTCAAATACGCATTCCGTACAAAATTACAAACATGAATTAATAACTGCTAAGAAGTTATTAATCCTCAAAAACATTTCTAAATTAACTCGTCGAGTACCGGTTTTATAGACACAATTAAAGAACAATAGGTCGCGGTTACCGGTGACCGCTTGGTGTTTGACAGTTTAATAAAAAACGCAGTAGTATACAGGGTACAAGTTTTATTTTCATAAAAGTAAGGTAGTAAATGTTTCTTTTATGTAATAATAGTTGTAATTAACTGCTCACGGCTGATGTTGCATGAATAACACGAAAACAAAAATGATTAAAATTGCAAAATCAATTTCTTTATATCAGCGTTTCGAGAGCGTTCCGTGTACACCCTGTACGAAAATTTAATTATTTTAGCAAAATAAAATTAACTAATTCAAGCATTTATTAGAGCCTTCTTAAATACAAATAACAATTTGGAGTTCCTACTTATTTTCTCATACAGCCCCAAATTAAGAACAATATAAACACAAACAAGAAACAATGACGTCAAACCTTTAACATCACGACCATCGTCACAGATATACGAAAAAAAAAAAAACAAAACAAATGAAGCGCCCTACTCACTGTCCAATAAAACTACAGACGTCAAAATATATGCAAGCGCCGTCAGTAGCATGTAAGACGAATGTAACATTAGACAGTGACCGGACCCGCGTCATACGTGTCCGTGCATACAATATCGGGCGACGTCCTGTCACCCGATAAATCTGATATGCACTGATGAATGAACCTGTCACTGCACTTCCTAATGTGTGCACTGGCCGGCTTTGATTTGTTCTCAATGATATATTAGCTTTTATCATCGTTTCCTCATTGCTGTTTCTGTCGGTCAAGATCTGTGCGGAAGATAGTTTCGTTCATTCATTATTTTATGTTTTGTAGATACAACGCAAAATACTTGTGTTTCAGTTGAATAAATTTGATGTTATTTGTCATTGTTCTTCAACTAGTAGGACTATCGCTTTTTAAGCATAAGACAAAACCAAAATATTTCGAACAGAACTATATTATTATGTGTGTTATAGTATATAACTCTATGTTATGTAACTATGTTAACACCTCTATGTTGACTCAAATTAATTGTAGATAATGCAGACTACACAGTCATATATTGACCAGTATTTAAATGCAGCAGTTTATAAAATTGCAGTTGGTACTCACGGTATTGGCGTCGAGCAGTTCCATGGAACACATCCTTTTTCGTCATCACAGTATCCTTTGCAGCTTGCATCACAAGGTACCACACAGACATGCGCACTGCTGTTATTGTACACGAACCCCTTCTTGCAAGAACAAACGTTTGGTGCAGAGCAGTAACCATTAACACAGGCTTTAGTACACTGGGGTTTGCAGACACCGTTCACTTTCGCGTAACCTTTGTGACACGAACATTTGTTAGGCGCTACACATTCTCCATGAGAACAGCCGTTACACTTAGGAACACAAACGGTCTTGTTCAAGGGAACATAGCCTTTATGGCACGCGCACGTGTGAGCACCAGCACAGTCCGCATTGACACAGTCACAGATCGGTTCACATGTTGAATCGTTCTTCTTTCGGTAGCCATCAGCACAGGTGCAAGTATTAGGAGCTGTGCACGTGGAGTTGATGCAGGGTTGGTCGCAAACTGGGACACAATTGAGGTTCTCATCTGCAGTGTAGCCCTCATCGCATTTGAAGCAGTGTGTGGAGTTGTAGGGGGTGTAGTTTTCTTGACAGATGCAGGTGTTGTTGACGTGGCAGATGGCGTTGAAGCAGGTTGGATTGCAGACGGGTGTGATGCAGGTGTTCGGTCGTTCGGGGTCGAGGTAGGCGGGGGACAGACACTGGCACTGGTCGGGAGAGACACACTTGCCTCCATTGCAGCCCGTGCTGCAGATTGGAGCACAGATGTCCTGTTCGCTGTCGTGCTGCCAACCGTTGCAGCAGACCGTGTGGTTCGTCCAAGTCAAATACGTCTGGAATTTGAAAATGGAAAGTTTCAGTGAAGCGAAATGGTTTTGACATCGAGATAAAATAAAATAAGAAATAACATTACATACCTCATATTTATATCTCTTGACGACACACTTCCTTCGTCCACACCACTTGTTTATGGCAACATTGTACGGCTTTTTTCTTCGTTGTCGGGAACTGTAAAACAACATCATGGATACTATTAAATTTCTCTTAATTAGGTATCAAACTACAAATCGACAACACTTTATTTTTATTTGTTAATAGAAAGAAAAGCAGATCAAATAATTGAGAATATTTCCTTAATGTAATGAAACTGAATTATGAATAAAACAAATAATTTATAACAAACAAATCAAATATAGTGAAAATTTAAAATACAAACAAACAAATCTTATCTAACACACCGCGGTCATATTGTGCTTCAAATACATAATCATGTAGAAAACAATAACCTTTATGAATTTGCTACATAAACAAACCAACACAACCACTACACATGAGATAACTACTAGAAAACTAATTAATTACCTGAGTTTAACCACACAGACTCCTTCACCATTATCGTCTAAAGCTTGTGTGTAGGATACTAACTCGACTAAAACAATCACTAATAAACAAAATACTATAGTTTTGAAACACATCGCTACAACACTACTTAAAACAAAAGGAGAACTTTTTAAAATTTTATAGTTAAAATTTTTAAATTTAAAATTTTGACGTGTTTTTTTTTAATATAATTTGTCAATCACAGCACCAGTGTGTCAGTCAGTCAACTACGATATAATGATGTTCGCTATCTCCTAAACTATTACACAGTCGTATCTTGGACCGAGGCGCTACTGACAGCGATTGAACGATAACCCATGTTTTAATTAAACCTTTTCCGACTAATGGTGCGAGTAATTGTTTGCACACAATTAAGTTTCGGTTTTATAGAAACGCTAATTAGGTGATGAAACTTTAAAGTGCCGAAATTTGTATTTTTTGTTAGTTTTCTTCCGTTAATCGTTTTAGAAAATGGAGCAGATATTTAGATCAAAAGATTATTCTTTCTATGTTTAATATTAGTCGTTAATTATGAATTTTAATTATAGATAATCGTGTAATTTCTTGTTTAATAGACGTTACCGATGTCAGATTCAGACTGTTTTGATAAAATTAAGTGCGTTGTACACAAGATTTAGAACCTAAAGAAAACTATTGGTAAAGGTATGTTTTGACTTCACTATATACATATATGAATCTCTCTATTGTCAATGATTGATTGACTAATGAAAGACCACACACAGATGTCCGTTTAACATTACAATTTGTAATGCTGAACAAAACTGTTTTGACAACCATAATTAAGTTAACAGTATATAATACCAATAAATATGAACCAATTAATTACCTAATTATTCCACAATTCACGTAAATGTAAGTGATTTTCTAATTATTTGTGATTAACACTGCATTGCGGTAAAAATCATAATGAAGTCATTATTATGATTTTTTCGAACACGGTGACTCGAGTTCGCATGTCACTTCTTAAATGATTAGATTACTTTCACAACGATATTTCCTTTTTAAAAATAATTTAACGGAAATGGTTGTTATTTGGCAGTAAACGCACTCCATAGAAGTATGGGCATCCATAAACTTTCTAATGTTCTACTATAATGTGAAAATGTGTTTGTTCGTTTGTTGTTAGTTGTCGTCAAAATATATGATATTTTGAACATAAATAGTTAGGAGGCTGGAGAATGAAAAATGTGAACATCTTTTTTTACTTAAACGAAGTTAAAACCGCGGGTGGAAAGTTCGTAATAAAATAAATCGCTTACACTTGCACACGTCCCACTGTAAATTATGATTATTAGTTTGATAATTTATAAATTACCATTTTGAGCCTTATCGCTAAGTAATAAAGCCGCAATTGTCTAACATGTGAGACAATGAGTGTGCGCAACCAATTTGCATGCAGGCCCTTATCCTTTTATTCTTATCTATTTATAGATTTAGATTTATAAGGAAGTTAGGTAATTGATTTATTGAAATTAGCATTTATTAATAAGTAAATTAGGTACTTCATTGATTTTTGTACAGGAAAAAATGTGTCATCTGTCAACAGCATGCGGCATGGCAATTACCTACCTAATTAGTAATCGTTAGAGTTCAAATTCTAGATCAATTAAATCTAATGATATTCGTATAGAAAAAGCTAAATTGGAAAAATGCAAATGTAAGAAAGATTTTGTTTTCTTTGACATCGCTTTTATAGAGACAAATATAATCTAATTTCGCACTTCAGATACTTAACACTATAAACCTGGCGAGAGTCGATAATTATACTAAAAATTTCAAAGACACAATAGGGATGATGACAGGGTTATAAAAATTAAAAATATAATTAGTCTGTAAGTTAGGTAATGAAAAAATATTAGACGCGTATTTTTTATTTTGTCATATAATAAAACAATACTTAGATAAAACAAATCAAAGTTTAGGAGTTGGGGCTAAAACGTCATTTCTACGTATAAAATGTACATAGAAGTGACGTCACGCGACGTTTCAAATCAATATATCGCCGAAAATATTCGTTTCTGTAAGAAAATAACAAATACGTGTCTAATGATTTAAAATAATCTACCAGACGAATATTAAAATAAAAAAATAGGCATGTACCCTATTGTATAAGAAAATAACACAGGTACTCTTATTTTAAAGCTGAGCAATGCACTTGTACTGTAACCCCACTGGTGTAGTGGTTGTCGAGGAGCGTAAAGACATGGTGTCATTACAGAGCTCAGAAAACTTGGTACAACGAGATCAATGACTCCGTAGTGAAATGTTACGGATGCTGGTGATAACGCATTATATTTATAAAATATTGCGTTCCTGTGAAATGCCCGGTACACAAATTGAGGCTATCAATGTAGTTATCCTCGTTAATTAGAGCTCATCTTCCTCTCGCGTGTTGAGCTGGGAAATTTGACTTATGTAGGTAGTCAAATATTTAACAGAAAGTAAACCGAATAAAGGCAATCATAGAACGTTATTTTAGGAAGTTAGTAAATCATTTATTTGCGTAAAACATGGTATACATTGGTGTTAATATTATTACAATAGCTCAACATGTTTCGCTAAAATAAAAACATAGCATGCATTCACATTCATAAATCACATCCTTACTTTCCTTACTTATATTATAAATCGAAAAGTGAGTTTGTTTGTTCCACTTTAACGCCGTAACTACTAAACCGATTGCTTTGAAATTTTGCAGACGTAAAGTTAGAAGTCCGGATAAATAATAGGGTACTTTTTATCTCTGAAAAATTTTATATTCCTGAGGGAAACCAAAAGTATTGGTATAGATGGCATGTGTGTATTGGTATATGTCACATTGGCTTTTTATCCTTTTGTGACGCGAGCGAAGCTGCGGGTAAAAGCTAGTAAACTATAAAAATGACATTGATTGAGCCACTTGTATAATTCGACAAAGGCTTTATAAAATTTGTATATAACACATTTGTCACTATGTTTTCCTCGGGTGTCATGATCTGAGTAAGAGACACTTTTAACAGAGACCCGGCTGCTACGCTTTTTGAGAAACATGAACCTTTTAAACTATGATCTCCAAGCCCTACCAACCGCGGTAATAGGGTAGATGCCTAATTTTTTATTTCAATATCCGTCTGGATAATTATTTTATATCATTAGACACGTATTTGTTATTATCTTACAGAAACGAATACATTCGACGATATATTGATTTGAAACGTCGCGTGACGTCACTTCTATGAACATTTTATACGTAGAAATGACGTTTTGCTCCCATTCCTAAACTTTGATTCGTTATATCTAAGTATTGGGTTATTATACGACAAAATAAAAAAATACGTGTCTAATATTTTTCTTATTACTTACGGACTAATTCGATTTTTAATTTTCATACCCTGTCATCATCCCAATTATAGCAATCCCTCCCACTAAAGGAACCCTATAGTCCAATAGTGGAGTAAAATGGGCCAATGGAAACCAATCCCTTCTTTAGTAGTGCAAGCTATTGTTGCATTGATTACGAAACAGATTAAGGCCAAGGCATCTTACCATACGATGAACAGTCATTCACCTGAGCACAGATAACATTGTTCTACGGAAACCTAGGTAGATGAAGACGGTGATGTTACCTAGGAATATTGACTTAAAACAATATTCCATTTATTTAAAAGAAACATTCCTGAAACAGTGAAGGAGAACTGGTTTTCTATTTATTTGAATAGGTACTTCCTATATATGTATACATTATTAATCAAAATTGATATAATATTTAATTAAACTGTCAAACACCAAGCGGTCACCGGTGACCGCGACCTATTGTTCTTTAATTGTGTCTATAAAACCGGTACTCGACGAGTTAAACAGAAAACGTAATTTGTTATCCTATAGGATATTACATTTTTATAATAACTATCGTGAGACATAATAAATTAACTAAAAATCGCGGGTTACTCACGTGAATATACCTACTGACAAAAACTCTACTAATTTCGAACCACAGAGGGATCCTTCCTCATGAGCAGCATGGGCGGTCGCAGCGACGTCGCGCAGCCTACTACTAAACTAGTAGACCTTTTGTCAATATATTCACGTGAGTAACCTGCGATTTTAGTTAAAGTCCTACATTGTTACTACATTGTTTTACAAAATTAAAATAAATCAAGAAAGGCAAGGCAGACATGCTCCGTCATCAACCACAACATTGCTTTCAACCTGGACTACTAGATAGTTCATACGTTCATCTACAAAACATAGAAAAAAGTCCTTAAGTACTTATTATTAACACCATGAATATTTTGTGTTATTTCCTTCCTTCCAAATACTAATGTTGTGCCTAATTGTGGCCCCAAATTATAAATATCCGCAAGCATGTAGCGATGTTTTACACAAGTACATCAGTACACATATAAGGAAAAATAAACTAAGTAGGTAATACATATAGATTTATGGAATGAATGATGTAAACTGTATATTATTAATATATTAGTTAAACCAACAGTAATCGAGTAACAATGACGGGTTGGTGTATACCGTGTTGAAGTATTAAAATATGAATTGAAGTGCAAAAGTGTTCAATATGGAGATATCTATATATTGTGCCATTGTGTTGTTTATTGTAAGTTGATTGTGCGTAACTATTATGTGTCTCAATTATTTTTACCTGTGAAGAGAGTAATTTTATCGGATTTATACTATTTTATATTACTTATATTGTCCATTAGAACAACAGATGGTTCCATAGGATTCGTCATTTTTTTTTAACTATTTGTTATTGTCTAGACGACATACCCAAATCATTTTTGTGCTGTTATTTTATTTCACGATAATATGATCGTCAACTACGTACTTCGCGAACATGTCGTGTAATTGATTTACCTACATTGTTTTTAATAACCAATTCTCGATAATGACTAAAAATGACGTAAGTACCTAATTGGTACTGATTGTTGTTTTTAGCGTTTAATGTATGCGTTTGTGACCTTTACAGAAAATAGTAATATAAGTGTAGTTCTTTATTATATTATTATATCAAAAATAATTATTCAAATCAGACTTGTAGTTACGAAGATTAGCGCGTACAAACAAACAAACAAAAAAA